CATCTTGATCAGGTTGCCTATAGACACTGTGTGTGTGTGTGTGTGTGTGTGTGTGTGTGTGTGCGTGCGTGTGTGTGTGTGTGTGCGTGCGTGTGTGTGTGTGTGTGCGTGCGTGTGTGTGTGTGTGTGCGTGCGTGTGTGTGTGTGTGTGCGTGCGTGTGTGTGTGTGTGTGCGTGCGTGTGTGTGTGTGTGTGCGTGCGTGTGTGTGTGTGTGTGCGTGCGTGTGTGTGTGTGTGTGCGTGCGTGTGTGTGTGTGTGTGCGTGCGTGTGTGTGTGTGTGTGCGTGCGTGTGTGTGTGTGTGTGCGTGCGTGTGTGTGTGTGTGTGCGTGCGTGTGTGTGTGTGTGTGCGTGCGTGTGTGTGTGTGTGTGCGTGCGTGTGTGTGTGTGTGTGCGTGCGTGTGTGTGTGTGTGTGCGTGCGTGTGTGTGTGTGTGTGCGTGCGTGTGTGTGTGTGTGTGCGTGCGTGTGTGTGTGTGTGTGCGTGCGTGTGTGTGTGTGTGTGCGTGCGTGTGTGTGTGTGTGTGCGTGCGTGTGTGTGTGTGTGTGCGTGCGTGTGTGTGTGTGTGTGCGTGCGTGTGTGTGTGTGTGTGCGTGCGTGTGTGTGTGTGTGTGCGTGCGTGTGTGTGTGTGTGTGCGTGCGTGTGTGTGTGTGTGTGCGTGCGTGTGTGTGTGTGTGTGCGTGCGTGTGTGTGTGTGTGTGCGTGCGTGTGTGTGTGTGTGTGCGTGCGTGTGTGTGTGTGTGTGCGTGCGTGTGTGTGTGTGTGTGCGAGTGTGTGTGTGTGTGTACGTGTGTGTGTGTCTGTGGGTGGGTGTGTGTCTGTGTGTGTGGGTGGGTGTGGGTGGGTGTGTGGGGGTCTGTGTGGGTGTGTGTGTATGTGTGTGTGTGTGTGTGTGTGTGGGTGGGTGGGTAGGGTAATTCTGATTCTCAATTGAGTTGGGAAGACCCATTCTGAACGTAGGTGGCACCATTCCCTAGATGGGGCCTTAGACTATATGAGAGAAGAAAGCTGACTGAACAGAGCAGCAGGGAGGCGGACGGCATGGGCGCATTTGTCTCTCTGCTCTTGACTGGATTTGCTGTGGCTAGACGCTTTGACTTCCTGAACAATGGCCTATAACCTGGAATCACGAGTCAAATAAGTCTCCTCCTGTAGCCTTAACTGTTACCTTGACACAAGAGTCATCCGAGTGGAGAGCTGTCATTTAGGACCCGGCTATATCTGATTGGCTGTGGGCATGTCTGCGGTGGATTGTCTTAATTATTAATAAGAGGGCCAAGCCCAGCATGGGTGGCAGGTGGCTCCGGGCTGCAGAAGAGTGCTAGCTAAGCATGAACTACTGAGGCAGCAGTGGTCCTCAATCTGTGGGTCACCGCCCTGTGGGGGTCGAATGACCCTTTCAGAGGGGTCACCTAACACCATTGGGAACCAGATACTTACATTATGATTTGTAGCAGTAGCAAAATTACAGTTATGAAGCAGCAATGAAGATAATTTTATGGTTGGGGGGTCACCACACAAGGAACGGTATTAAAGGGTTGCAGCATCAGGAAGGTTGAGAACGGCTGCAGTAAGGGAACCAGCCAGCCGCGTTCCTCCACAGTTCCTGCCATGAGCTCCTGCCCTGACTTCCCTAGGGATGGATTGTGACTTGGAAGGGTATTCCAAATAGAGCCTTTTCTCCCTTAAGCTGCTTGTTGTTGGGGGTTTTGTGTCGGCAACAGAAATGAAGCTAGAACAGGGCGTACCACAGTGTGGTTAGGGCATGTTGGCAGCTCTCAGTGGGGCTCCTGCTGGCCGTATCTGGGGCAAAAAGGTCACCTAAGTGGGTCAGGACAGCGATGTGGAAGTAAACTGTCTAGGGGATGAAAAGTCCTAACAGGGAGGGGTGGGTAAGCCAAAGGAGGGGAGGGAGATACAGAGGGAGTGCACTCAGCCTCTAATGAACACTTAGAGGAAAACTAAAAGATATGTGTATTTTTAAAGCAAGGGTAAGCAGCTTGTGCAAGGCTGTGCAGAGAATAGCCAGCAGCCTGAGCTGCCACTCCAGCACTGACCTACAGACCAGAGAGGATGTAGCCCCCCTTTTCTGTGTGACCAGAGGGTAGTCTTCAGGTTCTAAGTGCCAACTTCTGCGTCAGAGTGGCTCTAGGGGACCTTGGGTCTATAGGATCCCTTTCAGTCCCACCCATCACTGGGAGAGCAAGGAAGAATCATCTTTTATGGGGTCTTTGACTTTGTCCCCACTTTCCTAGCAGAGAAATGCTGGCGGTAAGAGGATGAGAAAAGGATCAGATCCATGTGTAACACAGGCATGTGGGTGCTTTGATCAACCTCTAAAAGAAGGAGAAGGCACTGATGAGATGGCTCAGGGGTTAAGAGCACCAGCTGCTCTCGCAGAGGACTTGGGTTTGAGTCCCAGCACCCACACTGTGTGGCTCATCCCATTTGTAAACTAGTTTCAGAGGGATCTGGTGCCCTCTTCTTGCCTCTGAAGGCACTGTATGCACATGGTGGGCAGACAAATGTATAGGCAAACTCTTAAACACGTAAAATAAAAAATAAAATCTTTTAAAAAAGAAAGAAGAGCTATGGCTTATGGGGGCAGAGGGTTGTCTCCTCCTCACACAGACTGAGGGCCTGCCTCTTCTCTGAAATACTTGGGACCAGAAGAAGTGTTGCAGATTTTGAGACAGAATATTCATACACACGTAAAGTGGTATCTTTGGCATGAGACCCTGTCTAAACATGAAGCTGCTTTTCATGTGCACCCTTTGTATGTATGCTGTTGGTAATTCTAGACAGTGTTTTTAGTGTGTGTGAATTCTGACCACAGTCTGTCACTGAAGGTCAGGTGTGAAATTTTCCACTTATGACTTTTGTGTTGGTTGTGATGCCATCTGGCAATTTTCAATATTCAGGTTTTTGAATTTGGGGTTAGGGACATTTCATTGACAATGAAATCCTAACCAATAAGCATGCGCAGAGCTGGGAGGAGAAAAATCAATGTTTTTGTAGCAGTCATGGGGAAACTGGTTGGGAAATCATCGGTGATACAAATTTGGGGTGGTGAGGGAGCGAGGGAGGAACATGAGGTATGTATTTCCACCTGGAAGTCACACGGGTGGTTTGTCACGTGATCTGAGCTGGACCCACAAGGAGAGAAGCAGAGGAGAGAGTAGAAACCTCTCCAGAGGCTTTGGGTATGGGGCTGCACCAAGACATGTACGTTAGGACATTCTGGAAAGTCATTGTCCCACCTCCTCCTAGGAAACGGAGACCCAGGAGGTGTTATGTCAATGGAGACGAAGGAGACACGCGGCACTGAACTAGATAGGGTCCCTAGGAGAACTGCCATCAAGGCTGTCACCAGGGAAACTGAGTGGGCTGGGAAGGATCACATAGCTGCCAGATCACCTCCAGGAGTGCCCACTGCTGTGTGGGGCTGCATGCTGTCTCGCCTAGGAAAAGCAAGGCAGAGTGACACATGGCAAAGACTAAGGGGCCGAGGAGGGAGGCAGCTTGTGCTGAAACAATCAGAAACCAACAAAACAGATGCTTGTGGGTGGAAATAGTAAACCTTGGTGAGTGCAAAAAAAGCTGACTGGAGTTCTGGGTCAGTCTTGCAGCAGTCCTGTACATTTATAACCCTTTAAAAGTTAGACTTTAAAGAAAAAAGGGAAACCAGGACGTTCAGCAACAAAACCAAGTTGTAGCTAAGTGCAGTCTAATTTCAAAATGCGTGCAAGGCCTTGGGGAGATGACACAGGGGCTGTGGTGATTTCTGTGCAAGTTTGAGGGCCTGAGTTTTAAACCCCCAGGACCTACACGAAAATCTGGGTGGGGTGATGCATACTCATGACCCCAGCACAGAGGGGTGGATCCCAGCGGGCCCTAGGGTCCTCTAGGGCAACCACACGAGCCAAAGTTGTGAATTTCAGATAGAGGCCACGTCTCAAGGAAGAAGATGGGGATGCATAGGGCAGGACACTTAGTGTCAGCTTTAGGCTCTTGCACAGACATGGCAACAGCACAAAAACGCAATGCAACTTTCACAAGCACATATGTGTTATGTGTACTCTTGTGAATAAGTCATTAAGTCATGCTTGAAAATAGGTTTTATTTATTTATAGATGTTTATTTAGTCAAGGGTTCCAGTCTCTCAGGCTAGCCTTTAACTTCTGTGTAGCTGAGGATGGCCTTGAATTCTGATCCCTCCGCCTCCATGTCTGGAATGTTGGATTACAGGCATGAACCTCTGTGCCCAGTGTGTGTGCTGCTGGGGATAGAGGCAAAGCTTTGAGCATGTAAGGCGAACATTCTACCCACTGAGCTGCACAGCCTGCAAATATAAAGCCCAAGAATGAATACAGTCATCTCCCACCCACAACAATTTTTTAAGTTGAATTTCTTTTAATAGATGAGGAGATACGAATTCAGAGATTTGGAAAGGTCAGGATTTGAACCCAAATCCTGGGCTCCACAGCCCATGTTCCTCCTCTGTCTTTGTAAGGAGCCTGACTTAACACAGTAAAAAAGGAAGGAATCAACCCCAGTGGCAGCTGGCTGTTTGTACAGCTTTTTTCCTATGCACTCCCACCCTCTCCCTGGAGGTATTGGTGCAGCTGTGGTCCACCAGGGTTTGGGGCTCTCCTTCTGATGGGCAGAGGAAAGAGAGGCTCAGTCTGTCCCTCTAGCAGCTTTCCAGTTGATTGGAGGGCTCTGAAGACAGATTTCCCCCAATTAATTCCAGTTAGAAATGAACACCTGATGAGGGTGAACAGTTGTGATGGAATGAAGGATGCAAGGGAGAGTCGGTCTCTCCAACTGCCAACTCACCCAATTCACCGGTGTGCGGATGCCAAAAATAGCTGGAAAGGAGGTCTGTCATCACCTGGAGAGTGGGGGATAATTGTGGCTGCCCCATTGAACCAAATGGCCAGATGGATCCACATCTGCCCAGGGTGAACAGTTGTGATGGAATGAAGGATGCAAGGGAGAGTCGGTCTCTTCAACTGCCAACTCACCCAATTCACCGGTGTTCGGATGCCAAAAATAGCTGGAAAGGAGGTCTGTCCTTACCTGGAGAGTGGGGGATAATTGTGGCTGCCCCGTTGAACCAAATGGCCAGATGGATCCACATCTGCCTCCTTGCCCTCTCGTCCTTGTCCTGGTGTGGGTCAGCAGAAAGACAATGGTTGTCTTTGACTTCCCATGTGCATGACTCTTAGGTTTTGTTTTTGCAGCTTTGTTCTGTTTGCCATTAGTTTTTGGCCTAATAAATAGTTTCTAATTGGTGATTGTGTTGGTGTCTGGGGTGGTGGGCAACTGTCAGGAGCTGATGCCAATTCCCTCCATGTTCCCTCCATCTGACGTGTTTTCATTCACTCCCTCACTCTCTAGTGAAAACATATATGCGTTAAGAAATAAACACAGGTGTTGAAGGGGATGTTTTGAAATGTTCTCTTGTCCCTGACAGCTGCGCTCTCTGTAGAAATCATGAGATTGTTTCCCCTGTAATTGCATGAATATCTTCCAAGCTTCCAGGATTTTTAACATGCGAATATATCGTTATGGAAGCTTCACACCCGAGAATATGGCATTACAGTTCATCCCAGCATAGTCCCCAGAGCTCGTGGGATTTTAATGTCATTCCAGAAGGCGGCTGGGAATCAAGACAGAGTACCTTTCTCATCGAAAGCTAATCCTTGCTGGATTGAGCAACTTGGCAGAACTACCCTCTCCCTCTTCAAACCATTGCCTGTCTGTGGCAGAGGAAAGTTTACCATTCTGGTACTTGCAGTATCAAGTGTGGTGTTGTGGTTCCAGACTGCATCCCCGGCTGTTGGAATTCAGTGCTGATTTCAAGTGTTTCATAGACTTTGTTTGCTTGTTTGGAAATAGCTGTGGGGAGGGACGATGATGCTCTTCTCTTCAGCTGCGATGCTGGCAGCAAGAGAGAAAAAATAACCCCCAGATGGGGAGGTCAGGAAAACACAGGACAGAGCTCAGCCTTGTCTGCCCCCAATCATGACGCCCCCTTGAGCCTGTTGCTTGGCTACTAACATTAAAGGCATCTCCCCAGCTGTTATATGAAGCCCTGGGTGATTGGAGCAATGCCTTTGGCTCTGTGGAGGAAAGATAAGACAAATTTAATGAACACGGAAGCACACACAGGATACCATGTGCTTCCTGGGAGGGACCCAGGTAAGGGCTAGAGTTGGGCTGGAGTTGCCAATGGGCTCATTGACTTTCAGGCTGATGGGTAGCTTGGTATGAAGATTGTGTCTCCTCCTTACTCCAAATGAGATGGAACCCTCTGATTGGTGGTGTTAGGAGGCAGGCTTTTGCCTGGTGTCAAGGTTTGGAGGGTGCACCCTAAAAATGGCATTACTGACAAACAGGGACCCCAGAGAGACCCTTGGCTCCCTCGTCGTGTGAGGTTACACCTTGAAAGCAGTGTCTATAATTCTGAAATGGGTCCCACCAGACACTGAACTTGCCTGCACCACGGCCTTGACACACCAGCCACCAGAAACTTGAGACATGAACAACCGCTGAACCCAACATGATGGCACGCTGTTTCGGTAGCCCAACACCCATAGAGTGTGCTTTCTTCTCTTCTTTTAAAAACTAATGTGGTTTTTATTTATTTCCTTTTAAAATCAAATTTGAATGGAGTTGTGTAATATGACCTGGATTTGGATCCTACAAAGGTGCCATTTGTATAGACGAGGATTCTACCTGCTTGGTAGCCCCACTGCCTTCTGGGTGCCCTGCAGCTCTCCTCCTAGATTCTGGGATATCAGCCTGTGTGGTGTTTGGGTTGAGCACACACACTTTCACCTGGCTGGGACTCGATGTCTATCATTTCCTCACCCAGGCTGGCTCCCCAGCTGCTCATTTCCTCAAGCAGGTCCTGGGTCTCTTTCTGGGGCAGAAGGTGACCCAGGAGTCCCTCAGGAGGACCAGCCACACCATCACAGAGACGAAGGCCTCTGTGTAGTCTACGTTTTAGTGCAGGACTTGGAACAGCCTGGGGGTCTGCATTGAAACCCTTGCCTCTGTGAGGAAAACACCTAGGATAAATGCCCAGAAGTGGGGTTCTGGCTTAGATAGTGCGCATGCTCTATGGCCAGTGACTTCCAGGGAGGATGGCTGAGTCCCTGTATATCTGGGGTCCCTGAGGGCACAAGTTTTTAACTGTGTCCCGTTTGAAAATGGGGAGTGCTTCTGGCTGGAGGTCCAGTCTGGCCTTTCTCCAGTCTGGAGTAAAGTTGAGAGTTCAGGCTTTGAAGAATTGTGCCCATGCCCCCTGCTGCTCCCATAACCCCTGCTGCTCCCGTGCCCCCTGCTGCTCCCGTGCCCCCTGCTGCTCCCATGTCCATTGCTGCTTCCATGTCCCCTGCTGCTCCCGTGTCCATTGCTGCTCCCGTGCCCCCTGCTGCTCCCGTGTCCATTGCTGCTCCCGTGCCCCCTGCTGCTCCCATGTCCCCTGCTGATCCCGTGTCCACTGCTGCTCCTGTGCCCACTGCTGCTCCCGTGTCCACTGCTGCTCCTGTGCCCACTGCTGCTCCCGTGTCCCCTGCTGCTCCCATGTCTCCTGCTGCTCCTGTGTCCACTGCTGCTCCTGTGCCCCCTGCTGCTCTCGTGTCCCCTACTGCTCCTGTGCCCACTGCTGCTCCCATGTCCACTGCTGCTCCTGTGTCCCCTGCTGCTCCCGTGCCCACTGCTGCTCCCCTGTCCCCTGCTGCTCCCCTGTCCCCTGCTGCTCCCCTGTCCCCTGCTGCTCCCCTGTCCCCTGCTGCTCCCCTGTCCCCTGCTGCTCCCCTGTCCCCTGCTGCTCCCGTGCCCACTGCTGCTCCCGTGTTCCCTGCTGCTCCCGTGTCCATTGCTGCTCCCATGGCCCCTGCTGCTCCCGTGTCTCCTGCTGCTCCCGTGTCCCCGGCTGCGCCCGTGTCCCCTGCTGCTCCTCTGTCCACTGCTGCTCCTGTGAACCACTATCTCCTAGTTTTGCCTAATTCTCTGGGAAGTTAGTTGATAACTTAGCTTTTTAGTCCATGAAAGACAAGACATCTGTAACATCAGTCCCACCCTCCCTCTCCCCTCCCTTCTCTCCCTCTCTCCTCTCCCCTTCCCTTTCTTTCCCCTCCCATTTCCTCTTCTCTAGTCCTCCCTTCCTCCCTCGGCTACCCCTCCTATCCCCTCCCCCTCCATCTTTTCCTCTACTCTCCCCTCCCTCTCTCTTTTAGTCTCCTTACTTCCTTTGTGTCTTTAAATTGTTTTTATCTGCTCCTTGACATTTGCTTTTGTGTCCATCAGCAATTTGCTAGTTTTACATAAGCAAATCTTCACTTTTACTTTTACACCCCTAAGCATTATAATAGCCTCTCTAAAGTCTTCAGCGCTGTAGGGTGGTGAGGATGATGAGCTCTTTTTTTCCCCCTAAGTTTTGAAGACCTTTACATCTTTGTTTCATCTACTCCACTGTAATGGAGATGTGGGTTTTCTTCTTGATAGGTCTTAAGTTCCTAACTTAGATTTTTTTTCAAATATTGGTTTCATAGACAGAGACTCTTCGTGGTGCTTTCTCAGTGGCTGACTCAGACGATTGTGTCACCTGGTATGTATGGCACTCTCATTTCCTTTTCTAGATATTTTATTTTGTGTGTATTTGTGCAGGAGCACATCCGTTTGGGATGGGAATGGCCCATCCATTTCTCTTCTGCTGTCACACCATAGCATCACAGTAAACTTTGAGACCCTAAAAGATACAGGGCTTTCTCACCAGCAAGCAGGACAGTCTGCACCACCAGATGGGTCCTCTAATCCAATTCAGTTCTTACAGTGTTGCCTGGAGACAGCATTGGACCCACAGCAAAAACCTGGTCTCCAACATGGCCCCGACCACACTATTTTCACCTGTGTTTCTGACTTCCTATTGCCCAGCAAACACACACAGCTCTCAGGGTGGGTGGAGCCTCACAAGCCTCTCCACCAGGGTGGGTGGAGCCTCACAAGCCTCTCCACCAGGGTGGGTGGAGCCTCACAAGCCTCTCCACCAGGGTGGGTGGAGCCTCATAAGCCTCTCTCCAGGGTGGGTGGAGCCTCACAAGCCTCTCCACCAGGGTGGGTGCAGCCTCACAAGCCTCTCTATCAGGCTTTACATTGTATCTAAAAACTCTACAAGTTTATATAACTTTAGATTTTGAGTTAAGATTTCTTTGCTTTCTTTCTATTTCTGTGATAAACATCTTGACCAGAAGCAGCTGGGAGAGGAAAGATGCCAGGTCTCAGTTCCAATCTGAAGGAAGCAGGGGCAGGAACTCAAGGTAGGAACCTAGAGGCAGGAACTGAAGCAGAGGCCAAGGAAGAAGGCTTTTTACAGACTTGCTCTCCATGGCTTGCTCAGTCTGCTTTCTTACACAACCAAAGACTACCTGCCAGGGGTGGCACTGATCATCAAACAGGAAAATATCCCATCACAGATTTGCACACAGGCAATCTAGTGGAGGCATTTTTATGTTTGACATCCCTTTTTCCCAGATGATGGAGCTCGTTCAAGCTAACCAAACACCATAGAGTACCAAAGTGTGTCACCATTTTGGGTTGGTTTTGTGAAAGGCAGAGCATCTGGGAATCCTGATTCATACATGTGATGTGTGCAGCTATGGCAGCATCATGTATCGAAGACTCTGCTCTCCCAGGTTATCCTGGGCTCTTTGCCAAAGAACAGCTTACTGCACTTGGCTGGCTGGGGGGGGGGTCTCTTTCTGAATCTTTCTTGTTGTATATTTGATTTCTGCTTCATTCAGTTTTTAAAATCTGGCCAATTTCTATATCTCTGTTCGTTAGGAAATAAGCTTCTCTGTCCTTTCTGTGGACACAGGCCTTCTCCTTTTACAGGGTCCTCATGTTCCAAACTCCCTTCTGGCTTCTGTTAATAGCAACCATTCATCCTGAAAAACACACCCTTCAAATAAATCTTGACATTTTTGGCCATCATAGGAACAACTAGAATCAGGCAGGCCAGGGATATTCTTAGAGTCCAGGGCTCTCATGTGATGGAATCACAGATGGAAATGAGTTACCAGCCCCTGCCACACTGTGTGGAGAAGAAAGGACTTCTGTCTCTCCATCTTCTATGCTGCCTGGCAGGACAAAGTACCTCTAAGTGTCTACCATTCCCCCATGTCCAAACTCCTGACAAAGACATCGATATTGCTGCTGCTGCTGCTGCTGCTGCTTCTAACTTCTTCACTGTCCGGCAAATCATAGAGCTTCAAAAAGGCAACAGACACAGCCCAGTTAAAGGTGGATGCATACTTACCCCTAAACGTTTGCACCTGTTCCCTGTGGGCTGAGATTTAGGCGGCATTTCTAAATCTGCCCGTGCACTCTTCAGCACGAGTGTAGCCTCTCGGTCATAGTTGCTGGGAAAGGAGGATGGTGGTGTCACAGGAAGGAACTCAGCAAGGCGATTTCCTTCTGCACAAAGGGTGCATCAGAACCTAAAGTGGGCTGGTGGGCATGCTCAGTCGAGACGACCTCTGTCTGTTATCCCCGGTTGCAAGCGGAGACTGTGTCTCATGCCGCTGGTGGAAGTTCCAACATCACAATCTGACAAGTCAGCTAACTGGTGCAAGAGGCTGTGTGGTTCATGAAATATGGGCCCATGGCTTCCAAGTACCTTTGATAGAACAAAACCACATTTTTTTACATAGTAAAATGTTCTTAAAAGGCAAATATAAGAGTACAAAACAGTCAATAAACAGCTGAAGCTCAGACTTCCTGCTTTCTTACACACAGCAATTGTCAAGATGATGAGCAGCTGGGTGCAGGTTCCTTTTACCTTGTTATGTCTAATTTTGTCCCCATGTACTTTTGAAAATAAGGGCCATTTATGTTTAACAGAGCATTTTATGTCAACATTTTGTACCATGGCTTTAATTTAATCCTGGGAGAATAATACGTGTTTTTCATTTATTTATTGTACTATTATATGGCCCATTTTTTTTAGTTTTTAATGCACTTGTGTGTGGAAATCAGGGGATAGCTTCTGGTGGCTTCCTTAGCTTCTTCGGAAGGCAGAGTCCCTCTTTAGCCCAGAGTATCATTAGTCCCTCACTGCTTGGCTAGTGAGTCCCAGCCATCCTCCTGTCTCTGCCTCCCCGGTGCTGGGATAATGAGTCCCTGCTGCTATGCCTGGTATTTTTGTGTGATCTCTGGGGATTGAGGCTCCATGCGTGCAAGGTGACTGCCCTGCTGCTCCTTCCTTGACATTTTAAACCCCAAAGCAAAAGATGTGTAAAGTATGATTTAAATTTCATTTAAGTACTGTTGTATGTTCACGTGGGCATGTGGTGTGTGTGGGTGTGTGTGTGTGTGTGTGTGTATGCATGTCAAAAGTATGGGGGGTGTGTGTGTGTGTGTGTGTGTGTGTGTGTGTGTATGCATGTCAAAAGTATGGGTGGTGTGTGTGTGTGTGTGTGCACACCACATTGTATACATGTCAAGAGTGTGGGTGTACATATCACATTGTGTGCATGTCAAGAGTGTGGTGTGTATGTGTACACAGTACAGTGTGTGCGTGTCAGAGGACAGCTTTCTGGAGTCAGTTCTGGGATCTGGGGATTGAACTCAGGTCATCAGGTTTGTATGGTAAGAGCTTTTTACACACTGAGTATCTTGTTGGCCCAAACAAACGTGTTTCTCAGTGGCTGAGCCTGTCTGTGCTTAGCATGCCCTGAGCTCAGTCCACAGTGTAACTAAAAATTAAGCCAATTGTTTACCCTCATTTGTAGGCTTTCTGGTTGGTGTGAGGCTGATGGCCACAGTGTTCTTTGTCCTCCTGAAAGTATTTTGTCTAAAAGCTTTGCCATCAGCTTACAAAATTCCCGAGTTTGCTATGAACATGCTGTGGTGCTCTTGCTCATCTGTCCCTCACTTTCTTTTGTATCTGGAAAGAGGGAACCTCAATTGACAAACTGCCTTAGACAGATTGGCCTCTGGGCCATTTTCTTGTTTGTTGATTGATGTGTGGTGTAATCCAGCTGACTCCCAGGTAAGTGGTCCTGGGTCCTATAAGAAAGACGGCTGAGCAAGCCATGGGGAGCAAGACAGGAAGCAGTATCCTCCATGGTCTCTCTATCAACTCCTGCCTGTGGGGTCCTGCCGTTTTTAGTTCTTGCCTTGACTTCCTCTCATGGGGGTCAGTGATACTTAAACCAAATAATCCCTTTTCTCCCTAAGTGGCTTATGCTCAGAGTTTTACACACACACACACACACACACACACACACACACACACACACACACATACACACACACACACACACATTTTTAAATCCTGGTTTCTGCATAGGAGAGAGCACCATAGCATCTTTCATAGTCTGGCTTATTTTGCTTAACACATGACCTCCAGCTATGCTCCTGTAAAATGACACAATTTCACTCTTTTCAACGCGATAAAACTGCATCACGGGTTTATATACACACCATGCTTCCTTCTCCATTTGCTTTCTGGTGAGCACCCTGGCTGTATCTGTCACTCGGCTCTTGTGAAGACTGTTGTAATGAACATGGGTATGCAGACATCTCTCTGGAACTCTGACAGACGTCTTAGGGTGTACTCTCGGGAGTGGGCATCTGCATCAGCCAGTGGGGTCTATTTTTAGGGTTTTAACACCAGCCTCAGGGACTCCCATGGTGGTTTTGCTCATTTACTCTACAACCAGCCATGCTTAAAGTTTCTCTATTAGTTACTTTCCTGTTGTTATGATAAAACACTATGACCAAATTTATAGAAGGAAGTTTTTTGTTTGGATTTATGATTCCAGAGGGTTGGAGTCCATCATGGTGGGGAAACATGGAGTAGCTGGCCGAAGCTTAGGGCTCAAGTGCTAATCTCAAGCATGAGGCAGAAAGAGGGAAGCAAGTGGGTGGGGCTTTTAACCTCAAAGCCTCAGTGGTCCACACTTCCCAAACCTTCCCAAACAGTACCACCAGCTAAGACCAGGTGTTCAAATGCCTGAGCCTGTGGGGTCAGCTCATTCAAACCACCACACATTTCCCTATCTCTTCATTGACATTTGGCATGACTGACTTTCATAATTACAGCCATTCTGACTGATCACTACACATTCCCCTATGTTTTTGTCAATATTTGGTATGACTTCCCTGATCACAGCCATTCTGACAGACAGAATCTCTGTGTGGTTTTGATTTGCATTTTGTTGATGGCTGGTGATGATGAACTTTGCCCGTTTATTGATCAAATGATTTGGCTTTGCAGCGTTTGGATCATTTTTTTTTTTTTGCGTGTTTTATAGATTCTAGATATTACTCCTGTGTCTGGTGTGTAACAGGCAATGATTTCCTCCCATTTCATACTCTGTCTCTTTGCTCTGTTAATCATTGCCTTTGCTGGGCAAAACCTTTTTAATTTCACACAGTCTCCTCTGTCAATTATTAGTTTTGCTTCTTGAGCTATTGGCGTCCCTTGCCAATGCCTGTATCTTGTTTCCCCCCAGCCATCAGAAAGTTTCATCAACACCTTTGATCCATTTTGAATTGATTTTCATATAAGATGAGTGCCATGGCTTGATTCAGCTGTCAACATGACACAAACCAGTCACCTGGGTAGAGAGCCCATCACCTGAGAAATTGCCCCCATCAGGTTGGCTTACTTTTGGGTCTGTGGGCATTTTCTTGACTGCTAGTTGACACAGGATGTGACCAACTCACTGTTAGCCATACCGCCCCTAGGCAGGTGGTCCTGGGCTGTGTCAGAGAAAGAGGTGAGCAAGCCATGAAGAATAAGCCAGTAAGAAGTGCTCCTTCCTAGCCTCTACTTGAGTTCCTGCATCGAATTCTTGGCTTCCCTGTGACCTGAGAGTTGTAAGATGAAAGGAACTTTTGCCCTCACAAGTTGGCCTTTGGTGAGGTGTTTCATGGCAGCAACAGAAAGCAGACTAGAGCGGTGATGGGATTTTCATTTTTTTCTACATGTGGATATTCAGCCTCCCTCCCGGAGCAGCTGTCTTTGGCACCTTTGTCAAAACTCAGGTGGCCATAGCAGCATGGATTTATTTCTGGGTCCTCTATTCTATTCCATCCGCCTGTGTGTCTGTTTTTGTGCAGGTGCCACACTGCTCTCCCTTTGTTACTATGGCCGCGTGGTGTAATTTGATGTCAGGTACCGTGACACCCCCAGCATTGCTCTCTTTGCTCTGTCTTGCTTTGTTATTCTAGAGTCTTTTGTGCTTCCATGTGAAGTTTGGGCTTTTCTTTTTCTATTTCTATGAAGAGCGTCTTTGGAATTTTGATGGGAAATGTATTGAATCTGCAGACGGCTTTTATATTATGAAAACGTAGCCATTTTCATAATACTAATTTTTCCAAAACATGCGTACAGGAAGTCTTTTCATCTTCGCTCATCTTCTGTAATGTTTAAAGTTCTCACTGCAGGGGGCTTTCATCCCCTTTGTTAGGTTTATTCCTGGTTTTGAAGCCCATTGTGTCTGGGATTGTTTTCTGACTTCTTTCTTGGTGTGCTGGTTACTGGTGTCTGGAAGGAAGCTGAGGTCTGTGTCTTGATTTTGTTTCTCTCTGCATTCCTCAAAGCCATTTCATGCCTAGAAGCTTTGGGGTTGAGCCTTCAGTGTCTCTTAAGTAGGGAATTGAATTGTCTCCAAACAAAGAGACTTTGACTTCTTCCTTTCTATCTCTATTGTATTTCTTTCTCTTAACTTATCACTCTAAGAGTTCAAGTACTATGCTGATCAAGAGTGGACAGTGGCTCCTTGTGTTGTTCCTGATCTTAGAGGAAATACTTCCAGTTTTGTAAGATAATCTTGTGTATAGATCTGTCTAGGTAGTCTTTGATATGTTGAGGCATGTGCCTTATATTCTTCATTTCTTTGAAGTTAAATTCTGTTACTGTCTATTGAGATGATCATGTGGTTCCTGTAATTAAGTACTTAATTACATTATATATTCTTTTAATTTAATGTAAGGATCACTATTCTCTCTCTCTCTCTCTCTCTCTCTCTCTCTCTCTCTCTCTCTCTCTGTGTGTGTGTGTGGTTTCCATTCTTGATTCAGGATACTTTTATTGCTTCCACCTAAAGAAATGTCTCTCTGTGCGCCTTGCACAATGGCCAAAAGGAACTCAGGGTAAAAGGTTTATTTCATATTACACTCCCAGGTGACAGTCCATCACAGGAAATTCATGGCAGGAACTCGAGCAGGGCAAGAACCTGGAGGCAGGAGCTGAAGCAGAGGCCATGGGGGAACACTGCCTGCTGCTTGCTCCTCATGGCTTTCTCAGCCTGCTTTCTTGTAGTACCCAGGGATGGCACCACACACAGAGGGCTGGGCCCTCTTCCATCGATCATCAACAAGAAGGCAGGCCAATACTATGCAGGTAATTTCTCATTTAAGAGTCCTACTTCCCAGATGATCCTGACTTGAAACAAGTTGACAGGAAACCGCCTAGAACACTGGTCTACAGGGAAAGTTCTGGGATGGTCTAGGGTGTGTAATGAGACCCTCTCCTAAAAAACAGTAACTTCCCAGTGTTTATTTTTGAGATTGGGTCTCACTGTGTAGCCCTGGTCAATTTGGAACTCACCGTGTAGACCATGCCTTCTTGTTCTTCCTTTTCCTTGCAGAAGCACCAAGGCCGGAACATCCAGAGGCAATGCTGGATAGAAGTGACAAGAGATGATACCCTTGATTTTTAATTAAGAAAAACTTTTATGTGTTTGCTTGCTTTGCCCACCCCACATACATGTGCAGTGTGTGACTGCAGTGCTTTCAGGGGTCAGCAGAGGGCACCAGATCTCTTGGAATTAGAGCTACAGATGCTTGTGAGCCGCCATGTGGATGCTGGGAATTGAACCTGAGCCTTGGGTCCTCTGAAGAGAATCAAATGATCTTACACTTTCATCCATTTTTTGAGCCCCACACTCTTGATTTTTTTTAAATGAACCTATTAAAGCATTCCGTTTTCTACCATTATATATGACTTTATGTGCCTTCCCCCCCTCCTTACACAGAACCCCCACTCTGCCTTCAGCCCCCTCCTTACACAGGACCCCCACTCTGCCTTCAGCCCCCTCCTTACATGGGACCCCCACTCTGCCTTCAGCCCCTCCTTACACAGGACCCCCACTCTGCCTTCAGCCCCCTCCTTACACAGGACCCCCACTCTGCCTTCAGCCCCCTCCTAACACGGGACCCCCACTCTGCCTTCAGCCCCCTCCTTACACGGGACCCCTACTCTGCCTTCAGCCCCCTCCTTACACAGAACCCCCCCTCTGCCTTCAGCCCCCTCCTTACACGGGACCCCTACTCTGCCTTCAGCCCCCTCCTTACACAGAACCCCCCCTCTGCCTTCAGCCCCCTCCTTACACGGGACCCCCACTCTGCCTTCAACCCCTTCCTTACACAGAACCCCACTCTGCCTTCAGCCTCCTCCTTATACAGAACCCCCACTCTGCCTTCAGCCCCTTCCTTACACAGAACCCCACTCTGCCTTCAGCCTCCTCCTTATACAGAACCCCCACTCTGCCTTCAGCCCCTTCCTTACACAGAACCCCACTCTGCCTTCAGCCCTCTCCTTACACAGAACCCCTTACTTCAGCCCCCTCCACTCATTACAGGAAGCCTGGGAAGTTTGTCAGTCAGAGCCAGGGTAGCACTGGTGTCACCTGGCCAGCCTCTCTTCTGTTCCCCAGTCAGAACCTTCACACATGCCTTATGCTGAGTGCCCCGCTTTTACAAGGGGGAAGAAGAGGCTGATCTTGGATCCTCTGCTATTCATTACTTCACTTTCAGCGTCTTTAAAACAAGGTCCAAGCGTGCATTCCCCCTTCTGTGAACACTTCAAAACCTCAGCATTTACCACTAAGCGCAAAGACTGGGGTCCCTCCCTGGTGTGCTTTGTCCCACCGTCTTGATCTCCCCTGGACTGACCCTGAGTCACCCACAATGGAGGCCTTACTTGCCTGTACTTTCCTGCTTGTCATCACAGTCTGAACCTCCTGGAGCAGAGTGCAGCTAGCCACCTAGACCCTATCTTATTCTTCACCGTTAGAGCGTGCCCAGTGGTTGCTTTGCCAATGAATTGGTACATTAATTAAAACCATACATTTATGGCTGTGCCTGTTACCAGCTGCTGGGCATATCGGCATGCTAGGAACTGTTCAGTTATTTTCACAAATTATCTCACTTAACCATCCAAACCTCCTAACGAGGCAGACGCTATGACTTTCCTGGAAGATCACATGACTCTGATGCTCTTAAATGCAGCCTGGGATTCTTTTACAGGCAGCCCAACTCAAAAGCCTTTCTCCTCTCATGTTGCCGTCACTCTGGCATCATGATCATCTTCATCACCCAGGCTCATGACCATGTAATAAACTCTACCCCTGTATATTTTGTTTAGCTCTCGGGTCATGTGATCAACTCCTCCAAGGCTTACACAGGACACAGAGGAAGCATCAAGATCCCAGTGAACAGCAGCCACACAGTTCGTCCATTTAGCTTTTCCAGCATGAGAGCAGTCTGGGTGATTCATCTCTGCTCTCATTAGAGCAATTATCCAGCTAATGGCTTTGATTTTGACTTGGCTGAGGTAGTCACAGCAGCTGGGGAGTGTCTGAGTGTGAGCAGATGGATAGCAAGGAGTTCTCCAAAGGAAGGCCAGGGTTTGATCTCATGGCCATGGGCAAGGAAGCTAAGGAATCTGGTCTCTGGTCCCCAGAGATGCTCTTCACCAGCCACCTGTTATGGAGGAGCTCTGTTCTGCCTGCTCTCCGCTGATGTTGGCAGGGTCCCTCCCCTCTGTGGAGACAGTCTCCTGTCTACGATTCCTGGGTGGCTGTGGCAGAGGCACTCAGATCCTCAACTGCCTGAATGACGGGAAAGCTCTAGGCTAGCAGGCTAGACTGTCACCTGAGCTGATAAAGTGACACATTTCAGGACTGTTTCAGTCAGGAGGGGCTGTGTTATGCTGCAGTGCTTAGCAGGATTGCATCTGCTCAGCCTGGCCCAGAGTGGTTCTCAGAACCATCCCAACCTGTGCTTGGCTGCAGGAATGTTGCTTCTACATCTCTGATTCCCACCTTATACCCAGAGTGGCCTTACCTGGGCTGGTCAACCCCCACCTCCCACAGTCCCCGGGGGGAAGTTATTCTGGTGAGGAAAGCCCCCTCTGGTTGTGGTAACTAATCAGAGACAGAGTCACATCCAGGGCCTTGAAATCCTTGCCTAAGAGCCGAAGGGACATGGAGATGGTCTCTTCCAACCTCCATCGAACCTCTAAAGCTTATACATAAAACAAATGGAACCTGGACACCGCTGCTGAACAAGTTTCACCTTGACCAAGGAGTGTGCCTATTGCTGCTGTGTGGAGCTGGTGTCTGTCAGGGGAGGTGAGACTAGACAACAGTGAAGAAGAGAATTCGGGAGATGAACATGCCAAAGACGTCCACAGGAGAAGATGGGAAGCCCTTAGCACACCTGAGCTTCATGCAGCCAGGGAGCATGCTCAGAAGCGTCCTCTCCAGGCCTGAGAATTCAGGAGAGGCAGGTGCTATGTTAACAACCCATAAAAGGTCAACCTTTGCTCTCTCATGCCCTCTTGCAGCCAGGCCACCAGGGAGGCATGGCACACCTCCAGGCCCCTCCGGCATGCCTCTGTACAACTCATTGTGAAGAGACATAAAGCCCTGGAAATTTCAGCATCTTCCTTCTAGACTCACCGCACCTGTGACAGCAGTGTGTAGTTTTAGACTTGTGGCAGGTCTCATCTATTTTTTTTTCCTTTTTTTGCACTGACATGACGTTCTCAAAAAATCTGTGCATCTGTGTCCTGTAGAGCGCCATGCCACACCATTGGCGCCACACTGCGTTGATGGCTTCCCTGCCGCTTGCTGGAAATGGGAGAGCAGTCAGAGGCGAGTGTGCCAGTTGCAGAGCTGTCTGTGCACCCTGGAAAATGAAAGGAAGGCCCTTTAAGGCTTGGTGATCCCCTCCATGACACTGTGTCCTTGGCTCGGGTGGCCTGAGTCAGGCCAAGACAGTCTCTGCAAAGCACGGGACAGCTATGTAGGCATGGCTCATCCTCCCTCCCATATTTATTGTAAATGCACAACAAGAAGAAGGAACTTAAGAGAAAGGGCTTAATTTGGCTCATGGCATGAGAGCACAGCCCTTCGTGACAGGTAAGGTGTGCACTGGGAGTGGCTGCCAAGGGCTGTGATTCAGGGACCTGAGGGTAGGCGCCTGAATCACGGTGGTGCGCAGGGAGCTGATACCAGGCCAGGCAACCCACTTCTCTCAGTGAGGCTCCGCCCTCCCTCAGACAGCACCACCAGATGGGGACCAAGAGTTCTAACCCCATGAGTTTGTGGGGGAGGCTTCGTATTGAAACTTTACTCCAGTAAAGCAGTGTAAAATACTACGTGAGTGTATTGGTTTCGGGAGGGCAGTCTGCTCCCCACTGGAGAGTCCATTTTTGTCTTTCCTTCAGCAAATGGCACAGAGGCTGCCAGCTGTACCATGGGCCGACACCTTGCTACCTGGACCAGGTGGCTCACGGGTTCTGTGAGGGGGAGGTGTGTGATACATAATGTGGTGATCGTCCGTGAGAGTTTCTGTCAATGAACTCAGTAGCACAACCTTGTGTGCTCTTCCCAGAATGAGGGCCTTGTCGAAACAGGACCTTTCTGCTTTGCCATTTCAGGGTCTGACTGGGCAGAACAAAGCTCCGTCTTCAAGTAGAGGAAATGCTTGCCGGCATGCAGGCCAAACCCATGGCCCCTTCCCCCATGTAGCCATGAAAAAAAGCCAGACCGAAAGTCTTTCTTACCGCTGTTTCCCTGCCCTGCCTGGCTCAGTGTCTGGTACACTGTGTGTACTCAACCAACACCAGATGCGCCGATGAAGTGTGTTTAAAGCAGCAAAGATCATGACAGTGAAGTCAGCCCCCGCCGACCCCTGCAGGCTCATTCAGAGCCACACAGGCAACTCCCACCGAATCTCCAAGAGGCTGAAGAGCACAGGGAGGCCACGTTTCATGACAGGAGCATCATCACTGATGTTTCTTGGCACCTTGCCTCATGGCCAACAGTTTGGAAAGCCTGCTCTGGGGCGGGGGTGGGGGGCAGGAGACACAGGCTTAAGGCAGGATCCCCAGTGTCACCTGCTGTTTGAGTTGTCTCCAGCTGTTCTTCCAAAGCTGATTCCTCCTCAAGGCCCACCTTATTTCCTCAGCACCCCAAGACGCCTCCCCTGGCCATCTCTCCTCTCAGTGACCTTGGCATTCTTAGCCATCACCACGGACAGACTGACAATGAGAATGAAGGAGCCCAGCAAACCTGGGGTCCACGTGGCAGTGGCCCATGTTTTGTATATGGACTGCTTTTGTGAAACTCCTTGCTGGTGACAGCCAGGCACCGTTTTCTTGCAGGACTGAGCAAACGGTTGCTGTGTTAAGATGAGTATGTGTGTGATACCTCGTGTATGTGCAGAAACACACAACAGACATTCTTGCAGGACTGAGCAAACGGTTGCTGTGTTAAGATGAGTATGTGTGTGTGATACCTCGTGTATGTGCAGAAACACACACAGCAGACACGTACAGAGATACAGGCAGATGTGTACAGTGACACCTGCACACACAGAAACACAGTCTGCAGACACAGACATGGACATAGGCTGGGAGAACCACTTGCTGGGTTTTCTGCTAGCAAGAAGCTTGTTATCAGCGTCTCTCCTTCAGTGTTCTCCTGAGCCCCAGGTGGTAGTTTATTCGGGTGTGCACATTTTACCTGCACTGCAAGGGTGTCACTGAGAAGTACCTCAAGGGACTCAGTCTCTCACATTCCCTGAGGTGAAAGCTTGAGTGATTCAATGCTGTTCACACTCTGTCAGACAGCTCAGGGAAATTTCTGGAAGAGGCTAGAGAAAGCTGCTTTCCCCTCCCCCCACACCTGCCCCTTTCCTCACTGATCACTTTGGGTGGGAGCCCTTTCCAGTTTCCTGGCACTAAGATGCTGTGTAGTCACAGTGTGTGTCCATTCTCGCACTTCCAGTCTCTTTGGCAGGATGCACAGGTGGAGTTGTGCATTAAAGTCACATCCACACTGGACTTTGAAAAGGTGTTGTCAACATTCACTTCAGGCAGCAGCATGGGCTCACAGTCTCTGTGCCTGAGTTTTAAAGGAATTTGCTGCACTGGACCTTGGAAAGCTTATTTTTTTAGTGTACAGAGATGATGGCAGAGAAACAGAGGTGGGCAAGTGGATGGATAAAGGCTTGAATTCTGGAAAGGATTGTTGGGGACATCTGAAGGTACAGGGAGGGGCTCACAAAGATGTCCAAAGAGCCATCACAGGGGACAAAAAAATGCAAAGACTGGAGGGGATCAGCCATGTTTCTGGGCATGAAGGCTGGAGCAGAGAGACTTCTGGCAGAAGGGACAAGGCAGCTAGAGCTGAGAGACTTCTGGAAGGATGAGTCGAGCAGAGATGGCAGATGAGCTGGCCTCAGAGGGCTCCCATGTAGATGCTGGTGTGCCGGGCTGAGGCTGGAAGGTGTTAAGACTCAGGAGAAAAGGGACAACATTGACTTCAGGATGAGAGAGACATTCTGGCCTTGGAAATGAATGCAAACTGCTAGGGGATGTATGTGTACAGGTGAGGAAACACATGGGGTAGGGTGGGATGTGTAGACCACATGGGATGCCACTAGGATCTTGGGATTTGCCAAGAGACTACAGTAATGCTTGCATGTGCGCGCGTGTGTGTGTGTGTGTGTGTGTGTGTGTGTGTGTGTGTGTGTATGTGTGTGTGTACGTGTATGTGCTAGTTAGAGAGATGCACGGGTGGCTGGCTGGCTGGCTGGCTAGACTTATAGGTACACACAGATACACCAACAGGCACAGGGATGGTGATAGACGGATGGATAGACAGTGATACGCAATGCCAGCAGCATGGTTGGAGGGTGACGTGTGCCCCAAGGGCTTGTACGTAAGGCTCCATCCCCAGTGTATAGTCAGGCAGACTTTGAGGAAGCTGTTGTATCACAAAGGCCCTTATCCTTCCATGGATTTGTCCACAGTTGAATTCACAATTGAATGGATCTTTGGAGAGGTGGAAAGACCTGCCTGGAGAGAGTGGGTCTGTGGGGTGTTGCTATATTTTTAGGGATGTTTTAAAATGTGTATATATGTATAGCGTGTGTGTGTGTGTGTGTGTGTGTGTGTGTGTGTGTGTGTGTGTGCCCCCACGCGCGCGCGCGCGCGCGTGCGCGCGCGCGCATGCGTACATGCCTGAAATAGCACATGTGTTTTGAGGTCAGAGGACAACCTCAGGTATCAGGTAATTTGTGTCTTTTATACATCATCCAAACTCAGGTATTCTGTGGCGCAAGAGACAGAGATACCAGACTCAGTGCAGAATGTCTCCACAGACCCTGACACTGGAGACCTCCATGTCTTCCTGCTTCTCCTCTCATGATAAAATTACATGTAAGGTCAGCACTGCCTATCACACTGTTGGAAAAATCAAACAGGGCAAACGTGGCTTAATGGAAATTAAAACAGCTCATTCCCAGCAATGAATACTGTGCCATCCAGGCAAAATCGACTAGTCCTGGCGGGAGCCCAGCCATGTTTAGAGTCAGTATGAAATCAATGGCAGCTGTATTTCAATATGAATTATTTGGACGCTGCTTGAGGAGTTCACCCAGCCCAAACCGTCAGGCTGTGAAGGCTTGAAAACAGACTCCTTTGCATAATTAAGCAGTCAAGGGGACGTGCTTTGAAATAAGACATCGGAAACACTCATCGTAGACAGCTGAGGGCAGAGTGGGCTGCCAGGCAATTAACAGTGAAGCTGTCCAGCTGATGCCTGAGCCTGGGGACAATTACACTGACCCTTTCCTTACGGTCAGCATCCAGCCCAGCTGCAGAGGGCTTGTGTCCTTTGAGACTCGAGAAGGAGAAGATCTCACAGCAACTTACAGGGTGCTTGGACGCAGGGGGGTGCTTCTGGATACTTCTGTTCCCTGTAGGCCTTTTGCTTAGGGGACTTCAAGAGGAGAAGGATGGCCTTAGGGTAGCTGCTGGGACTCACACTGCTGGCCAGGTCAGGACCATGGACAGGGGGACAGCAGTTTCGCAGGACTCTCTCTCTCTCTCTCTCTCTCTCTCTCTCTCTCTCTCTCTCTCTGTGTGTGTGTGTGTGTGTGTTATGTGTGAACCTGGTAACTAGGCAGAGGCTGCTGAATCACACAGGATGTTTCAGAGAGGTGAGGAAGGAGCTGACTGGGATTGCCAGGTGAGCTTCCAGCTTGGCTCTCTTAATGACTTCCTCCTCTGTGTAGAGCAGTCATAGCTCCGAGTAGCCACTCCGATGCACAGCAAACTGGATGTTGGAGCAGTGGGTACAGGCCAGGGTGAAGGAAATGAGTACGAGGACAGTTTTTCTGTCATCCTGGACAGGACTATGTTGGAGGGAAACAAACAGACACACCCAGGCAAGGAAGAGGGGACCGAAAGGATGTTCCTCCCTCCCTCCCCTGCCTCCCGGTGGTCTTCTAGACTTTATTACTGGCCAAGCCAAGATGGAGACAGAGACTGGGTGATGCATCCTTGTGCAACAGCCTGTGGGACCCAGATAAAGGAGACAAATCTGTAAGCTGTCGATGAGTGGCCAGCTCCTCCTAGTCAGGATGACCATGGTGGCCACACGAATGTGATGCCAGAGTGTATTAGCTACCAGCTCATTGCTATGAGAAAACACCATGATCAAAAGTAAACCAAGGGAAAAAGGATTTGTTTTGGCTTATGGTTCCAGAGGGATAAGATTCATGACGGTGGGGAAATCACAGCTGTGGTCAGCAAACGCTTGGGAGGTAGAGCAGGATGCTGACATCATATCTGCAAAAAGCAAGGAGAGAGAAGGGGTGTGGAGATGGGAAGGGAGGGGGGGAGAAGGGAGAGGGGAGGAGGAGGGAGAGAAAGAGACAGAGGCAGAGAGTGGGAACCGGAGCAAGGCTATAAACTCTATAAAAGCCACCCCCAGTGACACCCCAGTGACATACTTCCTCTAGCAAGGCTGCACTGGGGGCCAACTGTTCAATCACATAAACCTATGAGGGTCATTTTACATTCAAACTACCACAGTGAGCCAAACATCGTCCGCAGTGTGTACGCACCAAGTTTGGAGATTGTGTCTTCCAACTCCATTGGCTGTGAGAGTTGCCAGATGTGCCTCCTGACTGTTTTTTGACTTAGCAGACTGAGGAAGTGGGAATCAAATGATACAGTGTGGCGAGACTCAGAGGGTGAGAGGCCTGATGGTTAGCGCAGGAAAGATAATAAGGCAGGGCTTCTGCGGGAGCAGGGCTTCTGGGGATCAGAGCTTACAGGGAGCAGGACTTCTGGGGAGCAGGGCTTCTGGGAAAGCAGGGCTTTTGGGGATCAGGGCTTCTGGGGGAGCAGGGCTTTTGGGGAGCAGGGCTTCTGGGGATCAGAGCTTACAGGGAGCAGGGCTTCTGGGGAACAGAGCTCTTGGAGCAGTTTGTGTTCATACTTAGAAATCATTGCCACTGTGATTTCTTTCCTCCACTCCACTCATAAAGTTATGTATCACCCTCTTTAAATTAAAAGTTAAGACAATGTCTGCAGATGTCACTGGATACCAACTTAGGCGGGATTTGCCTCGTTACTGTCTCCATGCAGTGTGTGGTTTGGCTCTGTTGCCTCTGCATGTAAAACGCCTCGTGAGTGTGATTTTCTGCATCAGGAGCAGGCAGTGTCAGGGACAGCTTCCGTGAAGGGGGAGTACCAACCGGCCTCTGGGAGCCAAGACTCGGGCTCATTGAACAAGTAGGGAGACTAGATGTGTCCTTGGGAATCTCCATCAGGAAGGATCTCAGCTTGGTGCTGACAGTAGCAAGAGGACACCAGGTAACCATCTAGGAGTAAACATCCCTGTGGTGATACATTGTTTATGATTTAATAAAGCTTGCTTGAGGGCTCAGAATGCAAAACTATCCACAAGCCATAGAGACCAGGCAGTGGTGGTGCACACCTTCAACCCCAGCACTAGGGAGGGAGGTGGAGACAGGAGTGATATGGCTGGGCAGAGAGAGGGATATAAGGCAGGAGGAGACAGGAGCTCAGGATTGCAGTCTGAGGCTTGCTGGAGAGCAGTGCAGTCTGCATTGCACTCTGAGGATTCTTGGAGGCAGGGTCACCCATTTCTGTCTAAGGTAGAGGTAAGAGCTAGTGGCTGGCTGCTTTGCTTTTCTGATCTTGAGCTTGAACCCCAATATCTATCTTTGGGCTTTTATTTTCCTACTATGCATCCCAGTGCATAGAGTTGTACCTGGTACCCTTGCAGCACTGAGGGTGTGTGTGAGGGGGGCCTCAATCTCTCCTGCTGTTGATAAGGGCCCCGTCTTCTTAATAAACAAGGCAGTCAAACCCAACCACACCAGGTTGTCAGGGCTAGGGCAGGAACCCGAGGGGCTACTTGGTG